TCAGTCCAAATATAAAGCATGCATACAACTTTTTTTTCTTCTCAGATATTTATTATTGTAATGATCATGTACTCTCATTCATCTTTTCAATTCCTTCAGAAATATTTTCTTCATATTAGCAACTTATATATTTCTTTCATTAATTATACTCATTACATATGCTGTGAGACTCTTTTTGCTGATGTATTTCTCATGCAGTTAAAAAGTATTCTTGTGACTTCATTCCAGAAGTTAAGCCTCCTTCATCTGGCATGAAACTAACCCGACCAATGTCTAATAAGCTCTTACATGCATCAAAGTCATAGCCTATTCACAAAATGTAAGGGTCTTTTCCTTCCTTTTAAATAATGTCCAACCCAATACAAATACATATTACATTACTTTGCAGTTTACACGTGTAAATATATCTAATCCATCAGCACCACCTGTTTTTAATGAAATAACTAAATAAACCAACATGTAAAATGATATACTGTAAAAGCTTTTTAAGGCGAAATCAATCGGGACAAAAAAGAAGTTCCTGTTTTGGGAAGTATGCAGGGCTGTCCATTTAACGACACTTGTAATATCAATATTGCAATTCTAAAACTAGTAAAAAGTTTGACCTTTTCATCTAATGGTTTTCGCATTGTTAAATTGGTTGTGAAACTTATAAAAAATACACACCACCTCACTGTCTAATTGCTGAAATTGGACTGCTTGCTGGCTCATTCAACGCACAATGCATAACAGCCCAGACTAATATGGTTTTCTGATTCCCTTGCATGGCCTTGAGCAATGCATCTCTGGCCAAGGGGTTTAGATTTTGAATGTGGGACAGGGAGAGGCGCGAATAGAAGCCATGCCGGTTCATCTTCCCACTCTCCGAGAGGTGAGGAGAGCAATTCCCCTAGGGCCTATGCCTAGAGAGACAAGTGACCCCAAGGTCGAATTCCACACTGTCAGCTGGAGATTCCCTCCTTCATAGTGCGGTTGCCATGACTAAATCGCGAGGGATAGAGGGTTTAAAACAGACTTGCAAATGCATTCCTTACACTAAGAATATCTCGGGTCTCTGCAATCACCTTAAATTCACAGAAATTCCATTTTATGAAGATTTTCCCCCCTCTATAGGACATGATAAACCGTTCCGTTTCCACATTGGACAGGTTCTGTTTTATTGTGTAAAATGCCATACAACTTCACATGCCAGAGAAATTTTAGTGTATTGCAGAAGGTTTGTATGTTCATAAAAAATAATGAATATGAGGTACAAGAAACGTTTTAGGAAACTTGTGTTAATTGCCTAATTTGAAGATTTTGTTTATTAATCTACATAAATTAGGACCAGAAAAAAATACAGCTGTTAGATTAATACCTACTATTCTACCCTTAACTATTAAATCGCTCATGAATAAATTATTGTTAACCATCTAATTGAGTAATGCACAACAGGGATACTGGATAGGAAGGTTTTGCAGGGATGCTATATTTATTATTCATCAAATTGTGAGTATGCCTCTGAATTTAATCGCCATCATTTTATTGTTTTATAGACCCAGAAATTCAGTAATCCCAGCTGAAATTTACAGTGAACAGTCTAGAACAATGTCAAATGTAATGGTTAAAGTACATTAATTGAATACATACTCAGTCAATAGACTTGAAGAATACACAAGTCGAAACATAGTGATAAAGAACAGAGTAAGGCAATGAGGCTTTGAGCCCTCTCTTTTTTAAAAAAAAATTGATGTTTTAAATAATCAAAGTTGTAAGAGATCTGCCTGGATATCTAAAGGGTCAGAAGAATTTTAACATTGTTGGAAAAGCTGATGATTTTGTTAGCAGAGAGGATGATGACCTTCAAAGTCTCCACAAAAAATACTTTCAACAACCACTTTTTAATAAGAAATATTTTTCTTCCTAGATAACCAAAATATTTTTATTAGGAAGCAAACCATTTTATCCAATTTTTGGAAGTAGCAATGCCTTTGATGATATAACAGCCGTGCCACTTGTATACAATTAAATTATGAAAGAATTAACAGCAGTTTGTTGTCCTTTTTGCTTATTTCTGCCATTTTCTTTGTGTTCTAATATTCGAACTCAATTAGATAAAACAAAAGGAACATAAAAACACTTGTTCTTTTTTCATTTTAGTTTCTGTCAGTTATTATGTCGGTTTGGATGAATGAAAATTTGTATATTTGAAAATGTGTTCTCTAGATAATTTCTTATCGTACAATGTGTTTTTTAGTAAAAATAAAGGGACTTACATTAGTATGAGTAAACTTGGAGCACATTATGTTTATAAAATGGGAAAGATGTGAACCTTTGATGTGCCAGTGTTTCTTTTGTTCTCCCTTTGAGCAGTTCTTGGTAAGAAAGGTGGCCTGAGTTCCAGTCCATATGGAAGTCCATCTAGATCACAAATAGGCCACAGCTCTGATGTTGTCTTGGGCATGTGTGGTATGTTTTACATTGCCCTGTAGGTAGAAGTAATGATTTTTTTATCTCCTACTCTTTCCTTCACAAGTTTAATCAAATAACATAATAAATTTCACTACTCTATCCCTACCCTTCCTAAGTATAAATAATTAATTCTTTCGTATGGTTTTCCTCATTGTGCTCAATTATTTCAGAGATGGAACATGAAAGTTTGCTGCTTTTAGATTTGTCATCACCAGTATTTTTATATTGTAATGCTGTTTGTTGATTAGTTAGATTTATAAGGAAAGCAATATTTCTGAATAAAAATATTTCATCTGGAAATAAACTTTTGTAGTTTATGTGATTGTTTCCCAAGTGTTAACAACAAAAGAGCTTAACATTCATTCAGTTTAATGATGTGACTTTTTAAAAATTATAAAAATATTACCATAGTATTATTTTCTTCAGTTACTTTCTACCTTTACATTGTGTTTTCTTTCTACTTTTCTAGTCACAAACTACTGTTTAGAAATAACTTTCAGTAATTGTTTTACTGAATTTCTTTGAAAGCAAGGATCTAGAAATCATCTGCGATATTAACTTCTGGTATTAAAAAAATAAATGTTCCAAATTGAAGGTGCATAAACTGAGATTTTATTATAACATTAATATTCTTGTCATTTCAACTGGCAACATTTTCTTTCACATTTTTCTTTACCATCACCAGCATCATCACAGCCTTTTCACACTAGAAATAATTGATATAGTTAAGAGATCGAACACTTCTTTACTGGCAACATTTCTCTACATAATGGCTCTATTCCTTCAAGACTATTTGTTAGACAGGTCCTATTAAAAGATGTGACTGCTGTACCTTTCAAAATCTTTTTACAAGTCCTGGAAATTTACTCAGTGGGATAATGTTACTTTGATCATTCATTAAAGAAAAAAAATGTAGAAGAAATAAAAAACCCTGCATTTATTTTTAATGTTATGCTGTACTTTATTTAAAAACATTCATCCAAATACAAGGGACGCCTTAATTTTGATTTACCCCCTCCCAATGTGTACTTGGGTTCAAAGAAATTCAGTATAATATTTTTAATCTAAGAATTTGGAATTTCATTTTAATGGATGCTTCAGTTTACATCCTACACGTAATGTGCATGAGCACTTATTTAATGAAATTGGTTAAGTGTCTTGATTATTACTAAATTCCTTAACTTTTCTTTTCATGCATGAAATGTAGAATTCACAGGAAATATCCACAATGATGAAACACTTGGGGAGCAGTGTTTACAGAAATATAATATTTACCCAAATCCTGGTTTATTGTTTTTCTCTTCAATTTTTTACTTGACTTCTTTATTTTTTAATGTTATTCAGATAAAAGTTTCTTAATAATTTGATCTGCTCTAATCTATATGAATTTTGAGATTTAAATGTAGTACATCTTTCTTCATAGTTTATGACAAACAAAGGGAAAATTAAATTAATCTCAATTCATCTATGCAAATACTAATTCATTAGAAAATTAATTATATCATCATAATCAGTGTACATAAATAATGTTTGATAATTATCAATAGTAAATGAATCATAATTAATAAATGTATGATTTATGATATCACTTACAAGCTCACTTATTGAGCAATCAAAATCCTTTTGAATTCCAGAATTTAAAAAAATTACAATATACAAGTTGTAATTTCACATATAAAATTAAAAATGGTAATGAGGCTTCCATTTTAAAGGGGCATCCTTCAGTTAAATCGAAAAGTTACTTTTGTTGACTTAAAATCCAGTGAGATAATTAACTTAATATTTGTGAACTTAAAGGGAAGCTGGAATAAAAGTTGTTAATCATGTAAACAAATAGAGGCTAATATAGAAGTTGAGTAGTTGATTAGCATTGAAGCATGATAGAAAAAAATAGTTTTGAAAGTAAAATGCTTTATAAGCTTACTTGCCTTCCCTGTATTTCAAATAGTGGGACTTCATTGGCAATTAATACATTATTACCAGTATAATATAAAGTATTCACACTTTTAGCAAATGGGCACTTCAGCATGTATGATTTACACTGTATTTAGATCCGATTTTAATTTTGTTATTAAAAATATGATCACAAATTCTTTTATTAATTTTCAGAGAATGTGAACAGTAATTTCAAATATTTTCTATAATTCAATGAGTTTTTGTACTATCTTTGTGAAAATTCTGAATGTGCTTAAATCTGATTTATTTTTAGGTGAATATGCTCAGAAATAATGGATGAATTGAAGAAAGTGCAGTATTTTTTTTATGAGAATTAAACCATTGAATACAATACTAATCATACTTACTACAATGTATCATTTAAAAAATATATTTTTATTGTGTTTTTCTGTAAAAAATATTATATCTATTTATTTTAATTTTCCTTTAATTCTCTTTCTGATTTCTTTTGAAATATTTTTTTAAGTTAAAAGTTATTTTTATTTTTTAAGTAATATTTTGTTTAGTTTAATCAATCACCCTACTTTCCATAATTTTTTATTTTTTGTTTCGTTGTGTGTGTGGTCTGATGTTTACAGGTTCTCACATTACAGATGAGGAAATCAGACTTTCGGAGGATAAGTTTGCTGAATCCCTGCACCTGGCACAAATGGGGATGCATAACTTGCTTGAAAACGATGTGAGTTATTTTGAAACCAGTGCGTACGGTAAAAAAGTTTTTGTTAATATGAATTTTCATAAACAGGCTTTAAGGATTTTGTTTGCAATCGTACAATTCTGCAGTATTTAATTTCCAGTGACATGTCTGTCCAATTTAGGAAACTCTAATGGTAAATGTTAATACATATGAAACATATCTTAAATCATGAAAGTTAAATTGTAGTAGACTCATTGACATGAGAACTAAAAGAGGATAGTCTTTTCAGGTGGAACAAATATCTCAACTTGCTACTTTTGCTGAAGGATTGCTGGAATATCATCAACAGTGCACAGAAATACTGAAAGTGTTGACAGAAACTCTGCTAGAAAAGTAAGTTTCACTAGAGGATGTCCTTGTATTTATTTTTACTCCTTCATAACTTACACAGCTCAAGTATGACATAGAGAAACAATGAATTTTTTTTTCCCAAGAAGCATTTATCAATTAAAGTTTCATTATCACTGTCGTCTTGAGTACGTCCATGATTTTTCAATTTCATTTGTCAGATGAAGATTTGATAATTTCTTAAAATAAGTTGGCAGCTCAGTATTATAAATTATATTTTGGGGGTCTTATAATAGTTCAGTAAAACTTACTCAATGTGGAACGTGCATAATGTTGAAATCTGTCTAATACAAATTTAAATTGTAGTCCTGCCAGTCACAACTTCTACTGTATTACATTGCATAAAGCGGAATCTTGTGTAATACAGAAAAAAGTTCTGGTCACTTTAGCTTCCGCTTTGAGCAATTTTTACTGTATATGGAAACCTTTAACATTTCTTCATCTTTCAAGAAAATAATTTCATGTAAGAAGCTAATTTTTAGTCTCATTTTTATTTTTAAGATAATAATTTTTCAAATTGAGGAAGATAAAATAAAGGTCATTACCAGGATGTGATGTGCACATATAACTAAAATTTGGATTTTTAAATGGTATTCATTTGAAAATTATTAATGTATTTTTCTTTACACAGGAAAAGTGAAGCTGCAATGAGACCAAAAGCCGAGTTTGTCCCGAAGACATTGCAGGATCTCCATGTTGAGGGTATATCCGATGGTGTTAATGGTGCTCCCCCTCATCCGCCCTCCAGTACGGGTCAGTACGGCAGAGCCCGGCATGACGACCCTTTCGACCCTTGGCATGCCCCTCCAGTAAAAGGTGGTAACAACTGTTATTTTATGTTGACTGAGGCAAGAGTGTTTTCATGTGTGGAAATTGTCTTGGTGTTGTTTTGGATTTTGTGTTCCTATACTTCTATTAAAAGGCTATTCAAAATTTTATGAGTTTTGCTTTGTTAAATCATTTCCAAAATTTTGTTTTTTCTTAATTTTGAACAGCTTTTATATTTTTTTTTTTTTGTTTTGATCCAAAAAATCCAATTTGAAATGTTACTTCAGTCAAAAGATGAATAATTAAATGCCTTTTAATAGATCTTACTGAGAAAGGAAATTTTTGGGTAAGAAGTAGGATACCTATATTTTTCCAAACATTTCCTTAATCTCTTTCTGTGTTGAATGCTTAATTCTATTAATAGTGCTGTATTAGCATCTTTTCAATTTGGATATTAAACACAATTTTAGAATTTATTGCTATTTTTAAGTTATTCTTTGAGTCAGTAAAAAATTTTTTTTTTTAAAGAAGTAATTTAGAAATAGGGAGAGTACAAAAATTTTGCACAGCTGCAAATTGCTCTTGTAAATTTAAGTGTAGTGTGAGCTGAATTCCATTTACTTGCTTTTTCTGATCAGTTTGTTGGATTTGTGTGTTTATTACTGTTTATTTCTAAGTTTTTCTTTTCTTCTTTTTTCTATTCTTACTAAGACAATCACCACTTTTGATCATTCTGTCCAAACTGTTGTGGTAAGCATATGTTACACATACTGAGCTCTGCCTTACTATCATTTTCTTTTAAGCATTGACCATTCATGCAGCACTCTGCACTCAACTGACTACCTCATTGTATTTTTGTCCACATGGCCTTATAACTGCTCTTTTCTGACGCCACTTTAACGAGTTCCACATTTTCACAAAAAAATTGTGATTTAAGGAGCCTTTGTCAACATCATTTAGAATAGGTAAAACTTTCATGAAAGAAAGTAGGTTTCATACTTCTGTTTTAAATAGCTTGTGTCTTACCAAGCGAAAGTACTTCATTTGAGAATATCTTTACATAAAGCGATAATATTCTAAGACGTTTCATTGTAGAATACATATTGTATAAAATTTTAAGAGTTTCATTATTAATTCAACTTGTGAACATTTCACCATAACTTTTTTCTTTCTTCTTCTCTCTTTCAAAACGAAATTGGGACTAGTTATCTAGACGTAATCTTTACTGTTTCTACTCCCAAGACAATTATTTACACTACTTTCTAAAATTATTTTATGTTTGTAAACTATCTATCTCAATTTGCTGGAAGCAAAAAGAAAAACTTTAAAAATAAATTTAAAATGTTGAGTAACCAATTGCTCCAAACTTAGTTAGATATGGTTAGACAGTTCAGCATAACTGTCTAAATTCTTGCCATTATCATATTTCATGTGTTGACATAGCAGTACACAGTGTGCTTTTTACATATTCTTCTCTTACTGTGGGCTCTAGGGAGTATTATTTATATGATTTGCATGTGGCAGCAGAGAGCTTTGCAGAGTTCTGCATTGGAGGGCGGATTGTAAACCCTAATTTCTCTTATTGCAAATGATCTCTCCCCAATCCTCTTCAATATTGTTCATGTGCAAGAGTAGACTTCATATGATGATAGAAAAGTAATTCATTTTCCTCATGGTTCAAGCTTTAACACCTTGTAATTATTTCTGATTCTGAAAATCATTATTATTTTGAACACGTTTTGTGAAATAATATTCTGTACTAATGTTTCCGAGTAAATTTTTATACTATGTCTCGGAGAAAATTTTCAAAAATATAAAATTTCTGCTTTTGTCTGAAAGTACGTATAAGGTAAACTCAGGGCAATGTAGTGGGCTGAACTAAATGTCTAATTCAGGGTTTTGATGGCAACTTGTCAGGACCGCCAACTTCTAAAATATGTTTTTGAGTCTGATACGTGATTTTCAAATTCGAAATGCCTCTCGTCCAATAGGACTGGTATTTCCTTATTTTTCTGTCCTTTTGTTTTGTTAGGTTTTAATCTCAGGAATTGGGAAAATATTTTATACTTTGATTAAAACATAAAATCCATTGACACGTCACCAGCTGTGATGCTGTAATCCAAACAGAAGCTTGAATGCCACCATAGTGACATCACTTTACCTGATAATTTGGCAAAAATATGTACAAAGATTTTAATACAAAAGTATAATTAACTATTGGTTGTATAAGAGTTTATTTGTATGAGTTAAAATGTTTATTTGTATGAGTATTAATAAAATATTTATTTATTAGACACATTACATATAATGTCTAATTTTTTTTTAAAATCATTACAAAAAAAATGCATGAACATAAAAAGCCTCAAAAGCTTTAAAAAATACAATTATTTCTTTAATCAAGTTTCAAACTTCAATAAATAATTAAAAATATTCACTACATTTTGTTAATTTATTTAGTCAAAAATATATCCTTATCACAGGCCCAAAAGTATTATATAAACACAATTGTTTAATTGCGTAATTGTTGCGTGCTCTATTTATTAAATGGAACTGTTTTTCAGTTTTCATTGTTGTTGCTCTTATGAAAGATCTTACAAAGCATTCTTTGTTGATCATTATTGTATCTATTTCAAATTCATTAATTTATGTATATTTTTCTTCATGTCTCCAAATGTATTCTAAGTTTGTCCTTAAATTTTAATTTTTATTTTAAATGAAGAGTTAAAACCAAACAAAGAAATCCAAAGTCTCTTCATAATTAATGTCTTCAAATAGAAAGTAAACAGTCATAGAATATAATAATAGTAATGATAATTCAGCAAGTGACAATATTTATTTAAATAATTGGGCATTTGATTGGAAGATGGATCTTATGTAAAATTATATTGGTGTATTTAAAACTGCCTCGCATCTTTTTTTTAGGTGACTGTTGTTTATGTATAAAATTGCTAATGGTGAACACGCTGATTAGAAAATATAACTCTACTTAATGACGATATTTCTTTCTATGGTGATTAACAAAAGATAATAACGTTTATGGTGTGCATAAAATGGCTTCACTCACCTGCATGTACTTCTCAAATTGCAGAATCAACTCTGATCTGTAAATAACTTACTAAAACCTCAAGCAAATGCCTGTGCAATAAATACAAACAAAATGAATACGTCTTTGAAAATTCAAATACACACTGCCTGCATTTCAGATAATTTCATGGTCGCAGGAAAGATTGGTTGCAACAAAATCTGCTAAAATGTATCTTTTGCCAACTCTCCGTGAAAAACTGTTCAAACTTTGTATGTTTCTTTTTGAATAAAGTTAAAATAATTTGAAATAACAAATGAACAAATACTATTATAAATAAATTTGTAGATATGGCAGTTGAAAATTACTCACTTATAGCTTGTCTTTTCACATTGTGTCCATTTAAATAAACATGTAATATTGCGGCAAATACTAGCAATTTGGGCCTGTCCAATCAAATAAAAAAATAAAAAAACTAACTTTAAGCATAATATAATAAGTTTATGATCATTATTATATGTTTATTTGTCTTTTCCTTTTTCACGTTAATAACAGGTATGAGTCTGAAATTTATCTGCTTATAATCAGAGAGCAATGTGTAATAATTATATTTGGTAGGAATTTACAAGCGTTTAACTTGTATGCCTGTTATAGTGCCCCATGATATTGCTCTCTTGTGCTAGTATAATACTGTAGATATTATCTAAATTCTATTTATTTCATTAGGTTTTTATTGGAATTAATTTATTATTAATAATTCCAGACAGCAATGAGTTGTGGGCAGCAGTAATTATGATGGAAAATTCAAGTAAATTAAAAGAGAACATCATTTTTTAAACTGTTGTATGATCATTGGTGATGTGTTCGCTGCTGCTGTTGACAGTAGTGATTCAATGAAAATTATTATGAAGTTTACGTAAAAAAATAGCAACCATTAAAAAATTAACAAAAAGAAATGGGGGATGAGAAAAAAGAAAAGAAAAAACAACAAACAATAAGAGAAGAAAAAAAGTAGGCAATTTACTGAAAAGAAATAAGATTAAAAGTCAAAGTTTGTGTTACCAAAATTTTCATTTCTTTATTCATAAATTGTTTATTGATGAATTTTTAGCAGTCAATTAGTACAGTAGGTTTTGTGCTAAAAATTGGTAGTAATTCTCATTCTGAGATGCATTTGATTTTCATGAGAGAGAAATTCTTATTTCTTTCTTATGAGTGTTCAAAATATGTGAACACATGGAATTGAAGACTTACCGCTAATGTCTTTCTACATTATTTACATTTGTGTACTGTGAGACAATAAATAAGTTTATGTAATTCTCAGAACTATTAATCTCATGAACTCGAGAATAATAGAGCGTTATTGAACGTGCTGGGTCAAAAGAAGGGAAAATTGATGGCATTTTGCTAATGGTCGTTGACAAGTTGCTGTTGTTTTGAAAGTAGTCATTGTATCCGTGTATAGGAATTATAAATTGCATCATCATCATCATAACAAATGATTGCTGCTGTGAGTTGAGCTGATCTTAGTGGCCTTTAACGGAAATAACTTCAAGGTGTTCCATGGGCTCTACTAACTGCTTTCTGTGTGTTACTTGTGGTTCTTTGGTGTAGGCTCATCGCAAGCCACCTCTCAAGCCTCTTCTCCTGTGCACCCCAAACCGAATCAGCTGGAGCTGTTCCCCTCTGGCAATCCGCCTCGCTCATCTAATGGTAACTCCTGACGTGTGCTTGTCACTTGCCTTTGCTGTCTAGAGTGATGTTAACCCTTATGGTCTTGTGAAGGTTCTGCTACCAAGAAATTGTTAAGTGTCATCTATTACCCATTTTATCTTTTGTGGCACGTTGTTTGCCATATGTCTTATCATATAATATTTAGATTTAAGAGTGTTTTCTCATTTGGCAATTTAGC